TGCAGACAGTGGTTACTTCTGGGGAAAGTGAGGGATGGGTACTGGAAGAGGGGTACTCAAAGGGGATTTTTAGCCTAAAGTTTATATATGAGTAGGTAGATAGATAAACAACTTAATGTTGCTCTCTTGTACTTGTGCATTTAAAAAAATTAATAATTTTTAATATCCTGGGAGAAAAATTTGAGTCTGAAAGCGCGGAGAACTTGAGTGGGGAAATGGCTCAGAAGCACATGAATTTGGGAAACACTGACTTTAGGGCAAATATTTCGGAAAAGATGTTCCAAGAATTGTCAACTCAAATATTTTACAGAGTTTCGCGCTTTGTCTACCAGTATTCTGTTCATTGCAGGCTTCTAAATGCCATCCCAGGTGTCTGGGGAAATGAGCGGTGTTTGGGCCTGTTCTCTGGCATCCCGATTTAAATCCTTATCTTGGTTGTCTTCTTTGCACAGGCGCATGTTTCCTTTCTTGAGCTTCAACATAAACGGACTCAATCCCACCGCCCACTACAACGTGTTCGTGGAGGTGGTGCTGGCGGACCCCAACCACTGGCGCTTCCAAGGGGGCAAGTGGGTGACCTGCGGCAAAGCCGACAATAACATGCAGGGTGAGGAAAGCAGAGGCCTGGCCCGGGGGGAGCGGGCGGGAAAGGAGTCCGGGGAATCGGAACCCTTGACTCAGACAACTCACATTTACATCTAGCACTCTTCCCCACCCCACCCCCAAAGCCGGGGCCTGGAAGTGTTAGTATGACTGTCCTTGTGTTGACTGTTAGGGGGAGAAGAGAATTGCTGTGTTAGACTTCTTGCCTGTGGATATACAAATGTATAGGACTTTTAACTATGACTCTACCCCTCCACAACCCCCACGTTTGAGAAACTTAAAGTCATAAACTCTCCGGGTGGGAAGGGCTCCTGGCATTCTAATGTTCACTGAGAAAGCCCTCACCAAGGTCGAGTTTACCCACAAAAGTCCAACCACCTTCTGTCAAATGTTGCCCTTCTAGCTTTAGAAGGCCCCAAATTGACCTTCAAGAGTCATCTCCTCTTAGCTCCGTTTTTAAATTTTGAGATACTGTTAAGATGAGTGCCTAGTCCAAGGAAAACTGGAAGCACAGAAACCCTGGGAGGTGGGGGTAATCAATGGAGCCCCCCTGGTCTCCAATGACCTCCTTAAGCAGCTGTCTCGGTGAGACTTGAGCCCTAAGTCTAGCTCTTGTCTCTTGCCTGTAGTTAACAGACATCCCTTCCCTCCCCCCATTTGTAAACAGCCCTATATGCTTGGGTTTTGTGTTTTGTTTCATTTTCTCTTAGGCAACAAAATGTATGTTCACCCAGAGTCTCCTAATACTGGTTCCCACTGGATGAGACAGGAAATTTCCTTTGGGAAATTAAAACTCACCAATAACAAAGGCGCAAATAACAACAACACCCAGGTAGAGTGACAGAGGAGGAGGGGGTGTCTTCTGGCTGTACGTCTCTTTTCTAAC